CACTTCCGTTAAAGCTCCACGAGAGGTTTTCCGAAGCTTTTGCCAGTTTAACGGATACGCCTTGTAAAAGTTTTGTAATTACTTTTTTGATGTACTCCTAAATCGAGTTTCAGTGGTTCGAACACGTACATATGCCATCCTTTGAAGAATTGCAAAACAAAATTTATTTGAGTGAAAAATGTAACATTTCACTGTTTCCCTGTTTTGGAGTCCGGAACTGGGAACGTAACTCAAAAAGCATCTGATTACAAAAAAAGGTTATAACGTTTTGATTTGGATCACATTGAAAGGAAGCTTTACTTTCCCTTTCATTTTACCAAAAAGTCATAAAAATATGTTAAACTTCGTAAGACAATCTTATATAACTAACTAATTTTGCGAAAGTTATGTGTAAAAAAAAAAATATTATAAATTTTATCATAAGTAGGTATTTAGTCTTGTCATATACTACATACTATCTCAAATCCGTAATGTTTCCTAGTAAATTTCAAATACAGAAATTTTCTTATTCCACGTGTTTTTGGATCTGCCTTCTTTTATAGAAATAAATAGTAACGCTGCTACATATTTGCATTTGATTTGAATGATCGCTGCCAAATACGCGCAGCTGAACCAAACAATACTTGTTCTCTATATACATATATGTAATAATGGATATTAATTGGACAAAAACCGAAACCGAAATATTAATCTCAATTTTGGAGCGCCACCCTGTGATTTTTAATGAAAAAGCCTATGAAGAAATCGCCCTACAACTTGTAGATGTGAAACCAGATGTTACAAAATACTTGGTCAAAAGAAAAATTAAAACATTGCGGTCGCAACTTTGGGCAGAATTGCGTAGAATTCAAAGACACAACAGAATGGGTGGCAACGAAGCGTACAAACCGAAGCTATGGTGTTACAAACAACTACAAGTTTTATTCCAATGGGATATTGATGAAGATGATGTGGAAGAGATTGAAGAAGAGAGCAATAAGAAAAAAGTGAGTAAAATCAAAAATACAAATGTAGAATTTACAAAAACTTGATTTGTTGGAGCATGTGTTTCTCTCTAATCAAGGAGAATAGTTAGTTTCAGAAGTACAAAATCCAAGTATTCAAATCCCAATATATGTCTAGAGCAAATATAAAGTTGAATCATGCCGGCATGATATAGGACTTATTACGCATTTTAGAATTTTTTTATGAATATTACAAATACCAATAGTATTTATTCACTCATAACTTTCGCAAATTAGTTTTGTTAACAAGGGTATGGCAAGTGAAAGGATCAACGGGAAAAGCAATCTACTTGTAATATACAATAAACAAAAACAGCGGTGAAAATCTCGAAAGGTCCAACTGCAAAAATTTATTTATCTATTTATTTATTTTTTTTTGAGTATTCTTGTTATTCAAGTTATTCATTCACCTAACATCCATGTTGTGCCTAACTTTAAAAAAAGCCTGAAAAGCAGTGTATCGCATATCCACTCAAACATTAATGCTTATCATAGATTTACGACACTCACATATTGACAAGATTTGCACACTTATTTTATTATCTTTTAATTTTAATTATTTCTTTATAAAAATATAGTTTGTTCTTTAACAAAAACCGTATTAAACCAAGTTTCAAAATTGGTGCAACATTAAAAAAAATCTACAAACTTTCGTAAAAATTTCGAGCTTTTTAATTAGATTTCTTAGAAATATTTTCAGTACTTATGTACATTAAATTTTAAAGGGCAATTTTGGCTAAGATAGTAAAGTCTTTCATAAGTTAAATACAAGACAGATGGCAAGATAGTTCAAAAGAAATTTTGTTATTCTAGCAAAACAAAGCCATTTTAAGAGAATGCACTTGTGCTCGTATACATAGCATTTAGCTCGCTTCGCACCAACAGTCGCATTAGCCGAGTGAGCGTGCCATTCGAGATGTCCGCGTTCGAGTTCTCGGGCAGCGGAACTTTTCTTTGATATTAATTTATATTGCTTTTTTTAATTTAGATACATCTTTATTCTTTTTTAATTTAATTTCCTTTCAATTTTTCATATTTCATTGTTTTAAAATGAAACTTATATTTCTCTATTTTATTTAATTTTTAGGAACTTTTTTTCTTTTTTGGCTTAATTTTCTTCTAATTTTTAAATTTTATTGTTTTAAAAAGAAAAAAAAGTTAATTTCATTTAAGTTTTAGAATTTTATTTTATTTGTTTCATTTTTATTTAATTTGCTTTCCGTTTGGTCATTTAAAAAAAAAATATTACTAAAAGGTGAACATCATAACACTAGGACATCCTCGTTAGCCAAATTTAAAAGTATGAAACTAAAGG